GACAAACGAAGATTATTTGTTGATCTGACTGGATCGAGGAGCAGTGCTAACTGCTTTCGAATGCAGATTGGTCACTTACTCTAAATGGCTTTCAGTTTGATTTTAGATATTTTAATTCTTGCTTTAGGAAAATAATGTGGCTACCAAAATACGGCTCACTCGCTTTGCCTCCAATGACATATCATTGCCATTATGCTTTCACCGAACTGCTGATAACGCCTGAAGTGACCGATTGCGCTTTGGAAATACTCACCTCGACGAAATGGGTGGCGACGTTTCAAGGGAGCGATACTTCCTTGAACATAACCCAACTGAAAGATGAACGTAGCGGCGAAGAATTTCGCACTGTTCTTAAAACTACCTACTTGAAACGCTTATGCAAATCTGATTAAATCTAATTTTATGAATTATCTAATTTTATCAATTTTGTCGGAGACGTTTTGTCTCTCGCTTTTGGTTTATATTTCTCGGTTTTGTACAAAGCTGTCAATAATAAGTTGAATCTTGAACTTCACTTTACAATGTTTACTATATTTACCTTTTCCTCGTTCAGAATTTTTGTTTAATTATCGATGATTAAAAATTTAATAAAGTAATATCTCTATCGTGTGTGCACCATCATATTCGAATGTATCATACGCAATCATTAAAGAAAATAATTAATGACCAATCCAAGACCAGATTTGCACCGCATCCTTGTTCCTAGTTCCTAGACGGGTATTTAAGTGAGCCATGGCTTCGTGGCATTTGAGCACCTGCAGTCACTTGGTCATGAAGGAGTCATTCGTTATTTGGAATACTCAGGAGTACTAACAGCTTATGATGTTTACGTAGTAGCACATAACGAGTACCGGTTCCTGCAGCATCGTTCGTGATGAGCGCGATGTTGTGCTAGCGGACGGAGCGTAACTCATGCCAAGTGCATTTCGCATGAGGCTAATAAAAAATTAAGGAGCCGTGGCCTGCTTCGATGCCCTTGTCTAAGGCATGCTATTCTTGGTAAACAGTTGCCTTTCACGACAATAAGAAACTTTTTTCTAATGACAATCTTACAGCTATTAAGATAAATAATTAATAACTGATTTAATAATTACTGCTTTTCTGTTAGAGGCCGGCGCATGATTTAAGTATTTAGAACAGCTCTCTCTGAACAGGCTATCTCAGAAATCTGATCTCCAAGTCTTTTTCGGAGATATTCGCCACACGTACCCAAACGACGGCAAGAGTCATTTCTCAATGTGGCGAATCAGCCTATCTCAAAAATCTCAATTCCGAGAGACCATAACCCAGGGGATCGTCTAAGGAAATTAACCGCTAGAACGGTGAGGTACAGTTTTTCAGTCATGGGCCACGATCCACGACCGCGGGGCGACTATGGAGAAGAAAACCGACTTGAGCACGTTCAGCTTCTAGCTGAGACTCAGAAATGCCTTAGTAGCAACGATTTGGCACCGTTCACACAAAACGCTCCCTCCCCTCTATTGCCCGATCCCTGGTCTCTCATTTCCTCCCAATTTCCATCACTAGTAAAGCACATCGCGAGGTACGTCAACTTATCCTGTTCCTCCATTCACTGATTTATCCGCACAGCGCGGACAGCAACAGACCACAAGGCTTTAGGGTTGAATGTACAATCAAGCATGTATTGATCATATCGCACTCGGCTACGAAACCTATGCGGAAAGTGCAGTACATTTGTTTCCGAAGATGCTAAAGGTCAAGATTATCACATATATTGATTTGCATAACTAATCATTTTATCATGTTCGATTCCTAGGTTAAGCCTGTTCTTCTTTGATACTTTAATTACCGAGCCAACTGCTGTTACTTACAACAGATAGTAACTGTGCTACTCGCGGCATTTGCGGTTATCAGTGTCTTATCGTTAACTTTATTTACTATTTCTATAGTAATTGTGCCAACAAATTTCTCACCTTGGTTTAACCAGCTACATTCCGCAGATGCTTCGAAAAAATGACTGCTCGATACGTTGACACCGCAATTATTTCTTGGACTC